GTGAGAGTGGTGCCTGCACAGAGGGCACCAACCAGGGGTTTCCGCACAGACAACTTCCAGTTCAACATATCGGTCCTGACCTAGAACCACGACCAGATACATCTTGTAATGAAGTCCAGGTCAAACCGAACATTCAGCAAATCCATCTTTGACTGTGGGATACTCTTTTAGAAGGTCGCTACCATATGCATCACGGATAGCTCCAGGGAGAAGTGATAGGACCCCGATCGGGACCTGCTGGCATCGGATCCGAAAAAAACTGTGCTTCGCTACTTCACGCCATTCCCACAGCTCATATTCAGTCATCAATGGTCTAAAACAAACCTTGTGGTTGACCTTGTCAAGCTCAATTTCTGTTTGGGCACAACGGGGCACATCCAACTCCACAACATCTTTGGAGGGAGTGACGTACGTGATCAGGCTTCTTCCTTCGTTACGGAATAGTTTAGCAGGAGTGGACAGTTGGCGGGAGGATGCCCACCCGTTCTCATGGATAGATCCTTACTAGTAATTTTTTTTAAACCTCTGTGGAGACCGATGAGGTGTCGACCCCAAAGAGCATCGTGACAGTTTGTTCACGCAGCCATTCCGCCTAGATCTTGTAGGGATCCTGATTAATCGTTACTTTGACATAATCAGCCCCCACCTCTAGTTTGGAGGGGGAGAGACGCGGAGGGAGAATCCCATCGAGATAACACTGAAATTATGCCCCGGATTCCTTCTTTTCCCTCCAATGAAATGGAAGTCGACGGCCCTGTGGCCGCCATCGATAACGCAAAACCACGACCTACACTGAGGACTAAGATTAAAATTCAAACAGAAGCTTAAAAGGGACAAAATCAGTAGCAACATAGTGTAAGAGCCTCGTTCCACGCCACTAGCGTTCATTGAGAAGTGCGACACGAAAACTCGCGTTCCACCCCGCCCTAGAGAAATGCTTTTTTATTTCCATATTTTGCATCTCAAGTGGCCGCTCTTGAAACTCAAGTGCAGCCCAGGCAAAATCGCACTTGAGTTCACCTTCTGGAGGTGCCTTGAGTTCAAGAGCTACCCTTGTGTTTCAGCCGCGGGTGCAGGTTTTTTTTTTTTTTTTTCACTACGCCGCTCGCTCCTGGTTCACGGCCTATCCTTTTTGTGGTCCAGCCAACAACAGCTACCGGTGGCGGTACCGGGTGCCAGCAGTGGAACCGTGGGCGGTGGTGGCTGCGGATTCCGGCGGGCCATTGGGGCACACACACGCAGTGACCGTTGAAGCGTGCGGTGCACCGTCAACGGGGTGGGGAGATTCAAATCAGTCGCGCACTGCAGCTGCACGTAGTCGTTGGGACGGATTGTTCTGGGCGAGGGATGTTCTACCGCGGCAGCTCCACATGGCAGTACTAGACAAGCACAGTTGCTGCAGCTTGCTGCACCTGCATTCGCACATGCTTTTGCAAACCTCCATTGCCGTTTCCTGTTGTCTGCGCTGTGATGCGACGTGCATGGCAGACCATGCGAGGAAGGTGTCGCTGCTTTGTGTCCTCCTCCTATTGCTGCTGCTGCTCATACTGCACCTGTGGTCTTCGAAGCGTACAAGGGTTGTGCCCCGCAAGCGGAAGACGACGAAATTGAGCACAAGTCCGGCGTGTAAAGGAGGGATGGGTGGCGGCGACGGGGCGGCCACGTTCATGTACACATTGTACGGCATTGGGGGGGTGGCGGTGGGGGGTGTTTTCCATTGGATACACCCCGTTACGATCCATCGCTTTATGCACACCTGCCACCACATCTTCAGCTCCTTCCCGACGATGACAATTGGCAGCCGCCTCCATCAACGTCAGACCTCGCGCACGGTTCCACCCAGTCCATATCGGACAGTGGTGTGTGGGTGAGAGATCAGCGGCACAGGCAGGGGCCAATGATGTCACTTCTGTTGGATGAATTGCAGCAGGGGATGTGGCCACCCCTCGATCTGCAGTTGTCTTCCGGGAGTCGGCCTGCCGCGTCACCAACGCTGATCATCAATCCCACCAGCCGTTCGGAGGGCGACGCGTCAGTTGGGTATGAAGGTTGGCGGTCGGGTGCTGCGAGATTGCAGCTGACAGCCGCAGCTACAAACACCAACATTCGTGCAGGTCGAACGGCGATGTGACCGACGGCCGGGGTTCGGGCATCATCGGAGGGTAATTCTAATCCGCCATAGCGTGCGACGATGGCCTCCCTCACCCCTGTTCTTCTCGCCACACCGCGCCGCAATGCTGCTGTGTGCTGTAGATGTGTCGACACAGCGAGCAACGATGTAACCACCAGCCGTTTCTCACGCTCGGACAGTTCTCGCCGACGCGGCGCAGAGCCGTCCGCCAACACAGATGAAAATTGTTTGTCCTCCATGGACAAGAGCTATGGCACTTCGCTCACCCCACGGTGCACCGAACACCTCCCGGCAGTGGACGCGTGCGAGTGGCACTCGCACGCGTCCGAGTGCAGTACAAGCCCGTGTCCACTTCCGCACGCGTGGCAATTTTGTAGGCTGCAAAGCGCCGCACTGCACCACCAACAAATTTCGAACGCGCTCCCACACTGCACCTCGTCCCAAGCGGTCCCTCGCGTCCCAAACAGCACACTGCAGGCGGACATATTGAAGGCCGGGTGCCGGCCTACTGGATCGCATGGCCACCAGTAGGTCTCCGCACAATGGGGAGCCAGGGTGTTTTTCTTTCAAGTGCGACATTTTCAAGTGCCGTCTCTAGAGTGCATGGAACGAGGAGGGGGCTTAGTGGAAATTCATCACGTTTTCGTGATTAGGGCGCACTTGAAACTCAGGTGGTGTGGAACGAGGCTCTAAGTTTCTCCACCGGGTATCAGCGCGGACGGGGGAAGAAGGGCATACCTGCATTCTGCTTCCTGGCCTACCTCCGGTGGTCAACCAGAAGACAACTTCGAGATTCCCGTACGTCGCCTTGATTACGCCTCACGTCTTCACAATCCACATCGTGAAGGCAGAACAAGTCCCTATGCACGCCATCATGGAGCAAGGGAGCCCTTTCTAGCCCCTGCTATCTCACAAAGGGCATACGCCATAGAACTGTCTATGGGGAGAGAGGATCATAGAGGGCCCCCCCGGCAATCCCGAGGGCGGGTTGATGACGTCAGCGATGCCGCCACCCTGCAATTTGTCCCGGAAGGAAGGCCTACCGTTCCGGCTACCGTCTTCCCCCGAACATAACGCAGCCTAAAAATGAATGTATACAAGCTATATTTCCGGCCATACAGCCAAAATAAGGGTGCGTTGTGTTCGGGGGAAGACGGTAGCGCTAAGCCGGGATTAGAGCAGAATAAGCGCTAATCGCCCAGCTTCCCCGCTTCACAAACACCGACCGGAAGACGAGACAATTTTCCCATCCATAGCCGAATTCTCGATTTCTGACTCGAGGTTATGAAGATCAACGGCCAGAAATGAAGAATCCGGCCAAGTGGGACTTGGCCCATGGAATGAACAATACAAGCATCACAAATACGGAGGCATCAATTGTCCGGCGTTACTCTGTCCTTGCGATGCCGACTGGTGGTCACGCATTGCATCTGGTCATTAACAGGCCGCGGATTGGTGGTCAAGCATTGAATCTGGTCATTAAGGTGGTCGAAGGCGGCATAGTTTCGAGGACATGATGAATGGAGTTCGAGATGCATTGCATCTGGTCGTTAGGTCGATGAATGCTGAAAGCCGAAGTGGCACGACCACACGTGCACTTACGATGCGTTGAGTTTGGGCTTCGCTCCACCACAACCCGCTCTACATGAATGGGAACTGTATCGAAGCCACATGCACTCGGACGAACCCAACATTTTGAATGCACCGGACCATCAAACTGGTGCAGATACATTTAAGAGTGTGGTGTATTTTGTCGCATGAATAAGATGTCGGACTTTGAATCATTTGTCTATCGGCTGCTATTTGATAGCTATGACCGCGTTGCTTTTTTTTTTTCTTTTTTTTTTTTTTGACACGAACCAAACAGCGTTGCTTTGAGTGGTACGGGTGATGTTTGTCAGTTTATTACCTTAATCAACATCCTGCTGTATATTTTTCTTCCATTTGTACAATTTCTAGATCCTTTTTTTCATCATCCATATTTTCTCTTTTTCATAATGATCGACCTTTGCCTTCCTCAACATCGATCTTCGCCCCTTCATTTTTCCTTCCTACACTGGCACTGTTTCTATGAAGTTCTGGCCGCGATTACGGTCAGATTCGTCCAGTTCTGAATCGAATTGCGGTCAGATGCATCTCGGAAAGTGCAAGTGTGAGGAGGCATGCCCTTCACCCGCAAAAAGGGATGGTATTTCAACTTTCTGCTATCCATAGATCAAGGGACATCATCTATACCCYCCTCTCTCTCTCTCTCTCTCTCTCTCTCTCTCTCTCTCTCTCTCTCTCTCTCTCTCTCTCTCTCTCTCTCTCTCTCTCTCTCCATCATCGTCCAAGGCATCACGTAAAACAATTTAGAGGCAACAATATTCAGACGAAATAAATCATAGCCGGTGATAAACAATGGCCCCAGGAGAAATAGAGTATTACCTCGATATTCCCGGTACTGGTTTTTGCTTTCAATTTCGTATTTGGGGTTCCTTTTGCCCATCACCTGCCTTAGCGCCGACGGGAGAGAAAGTTCCCTGTTGACGAAGCGGCGACAGAAGGATGAAGGACAGAGAGAGTAACACACTGTCGGCATGAAATTCCAGCCAGTTGTGACGAGGCGATCGCTCATTCAAACGACGGGAAGGAGAAATTAGACGAAACGGAGGAGTAAGAAAGCACGCCTTCGTAATCGACCACAGGGACATATCCTCTCTCTCTCTCTCTCTCTCTCTAACTCTCGCGCGCGCCGCGCGCGAGAGATAGAGAGAGAGGGAGAGGGAGAGAGAGAATCGGCGACATTTTTTTCCTGACTGGTTTCTGAGCCTCCCCCCCGGCATATGCACAAGCACTAACAACACGCGCGCGCGTCATAGTCACCCTTCCGTGCCTGCTGTGTTTATCTGTAACAGTCCATTTGCTTCATCATTCAGTTTGTGTTACCGAGCGTATTGAATGACCACACACACACACACACACACACACACACACACACACACACACACACACACACACACAAAACGAAACAGTCTGGCACAGTTATGCGTTATTTGAGCGTATAGCGAATATGACAACACACACACACGCGCAGAAAACAAAAAAAAAAAGGTAAAAGGGCGGGGTTTCAGAACAAGCTATCGATGAGAGGGACATCCGCGGGAACGAAAAGTCCCATCTGAAATCTATGGTAATGGTTGGCGTCATTGTAGTTGTAATACTGCAAAGAAGAAAGAGAAGAAGAAGAAGAAGAAGAAGAAGAAGAAGAAGAAGAAGAAGAAGAAGAGATCGCAGCAGCAACAGGGGCAGAAGAAGGAGAAGGAGAAGACGAAGAAGACGGAGAGGGGGCAGGAGAGGAGGAGGAGGAGGAGGAGGAGGAGGAGGGCGTGTTTCGTGAATTCGCAGTTGTTCTCGTAAGCTTTTTGATTCAGACCAAGGAAGGCGGCGGGTTCTTGATTACTATCCACGAGTCAATTTGATCGTAATCCTGGGTCTCAGAGTCTCCACGGTCTTGCGAAGTCAATGCTATGGATGCGTATACGGTGTAGCCGGCCTCTGCTAATCCCGCCACCAACTGCGCCACTAGTACTCGGCTTGCCGTGGACTCGCTGCCAGACGATGCCTGCCACGGGTTGCCCCTCAGCTTGATCTGCGGAACCCCTTTGTACGCATCAACCTTCTGAATTCCTTTGGCCCAATGGCATTCCAGCAGCTCCCGCACCAATCCGCTCCCCTCCTCGCCGGCATCGATGACGCGCACAGTGTCCCACAAGTTGAACGAGATGGCGAAGACGTCGTGAGGGTTTGAGCACTGCCACTTCGTCTTCGTAGTCCGCCGGAGAAACACCCACGCATCTTTGCTATCTGGCTTCCTGCTCGTTATCGCGCTCAGGGCCAATCCATAGCCCATCTCTAGCATGCACCGGAAGACGCCAACCACCAGCCTTCGCGCGGAAATCGCGTCTCCACCACTCCCCAGCCAAGGCCTGCCCCGAAGCTGGAACTCGTACACTTTTTCCACATTCCAATTGCGGACCGATTGAATCCCAGCCCTCCAGCTGGCATTGACAGCAGAGGTCAACCGTTCGATCCCGGCCTCCGTTAGATTATAAACGCGCAGCCTGTCCGAAGCGTGCGGCGAAATGCACACTACGGACTGCTCGTTGGCAAGCAGATTCTCCTCGTGGTAATCCACCATCGTCCTTGGACGGAGAGAGAGCTCAGATGGGTAAGAAAGCCACGGGCGGGCTTAGATCAAGGCTTAGCTGCCAAGGACGATGGTGGACGGAGAGAGAGCTCAGATGGGTCAGAAAGCCGATCAACAGCACAGCAAATTCCTTAGCTTCAACAGTCTGCTCCGCGTGCGACCTAGGGCCTCGCTGCACTCCTCTCACATGCACAAAAGACAAAAATATTGCCGGGGTATCTTTCCATATTCTACGGGAAGATTCACTCTCGTTTTGCACATTTCGAGAGTAGTGCAGCGAGGCCCCTAGAGATGACGGGTCCGTTAGTGAATGTCTGATTGCATCGGTACGATGCGAGAGACAGGCCAATCAATTCTGCCATAGCCTCGTCGCAGGGCAGACAAGCGAAGAGAGAGAGACATGGAGAAGAAGATGCTGAAATGGAGAGGGGGATGGAAATCAGCGTCTCAAACCTGACTTTCGGCACCTCACCTCCGCCGAGCCCCTAACCTATAGGATAGATTACGAAGGCAGCAGATGCAACGAATTGTCAATTGGGAAAAGTCATAAAATGGCGGGAAAGTGTTTTCCAGGGTGCAAAAAAAAATGACGCGGTTCTCCCGGTTGGGGGGCGGAACGGATACAAAGGTTTCGTCGCGGGGAGGGCGTCAATTCCTGAGGTGTCGAGTACAGCGTGCTTCAAAAAAAAAAAAAAAAAAAAAAAAAAGTACAGCGTACATATACGTATAAAACCCGTTTTTACTGATGCGTAGGAATCCGATGGGTAGTGGGCCTATTGCGGCGTACTCGCTGTGCAAAATGGAGAACAACATTCTACATGTATCTGGTAGAATGCATCTGGTTTGCAATTCCCTCGACATACAGTGTTGTGAAGCTCCGTACATTCATAATGTTGGATTCATACATTATAATGTTGGATTTGTCCGAATGCATCTGGTTTGCAATTCCCTCGACATACAGTGCTGTGAAGCTCTGGTCGGATGTGGAAAGAGGTTTGTCCTTATTCACACGTGGTGGATGGCGCGGCGAGGACCCAAAAGCCTGGAGAGGAATCCCACGCCGACGGTCCTGAAAGCGCCGGAACATTGAAAAAAAGAAAAAGAAAAAGAAAAAAAAAGCGCCGGAGCACCTGTATCCACGTGGAGCGTGGACGGTCGTGTAAGAGCCGAAACACCTGTATCTCCGAGATTTGGGCCTCGCTCCGCTATGGAGAAGGCGCGGTAGTTCTTCCAAAAAAAAGAAAAGAAAGAAGGCCCGGTAGCTCACAGTGGTTAGAGCTATGTTGTTGCATGGGGGAGGTCGGGGGCTCGACTCGGGTCGACCCTCAGCCTCCCTCATGCGAGTCTGGTTCTTTTCGTCGTCGTTTTTTTTTTTTTTTTTTTTTTTTTTTTTTTTTTTTGGGTACCGTTTTTTGGGGACTACCGGTCGCCAGTGGGTACCCCTCGCCGCGTCGAATTCTTCAAGCAGGGAGAGGTACCTACCGGTAGCTCGAGGCTCGGCAAGCTTTGGGAGACCGGTAGGCTGAGGGTCAGGTTGTTCAAGAATAGGGTCCGGCCTAAACAACCGGTATTCCTGTCCTTCGATTGGAGTGATAAATTGTGCGGAATAGGCCCTGAAGGACAGAAAAATGGGGTGTGTCAAGGATTTTTGGGAATATTCAGTGTGGGGCCACAAACGGAAATGGGAACCCCCGTGCGATTTCAGTTTTAGTGAGGAAAGATCATAGTCGCGAGGGAAACGAATGGCGCGCACTACTTCCGAATGTTCACTCAATCCAAAAACTTAAATACCTCTGCACTTCCATGTGGGAGCCACAACCCACTTGTCGCTAACAATTCCAAAATCTCGCATCACGAAAGCCTAGAGGTATAAATTTCCTAATCAGAGTTACGCGTAATTATTCCTAATCCTACCCCTTAAGCAGCATTGGCCGCGAGGGGGCGGTCGATGGTCCGCTGCGCGCCGGAATCGGGGCGAAGTTTCGGTGCGGGCCGGCGGATAAAGGCGATCGAGGGTAGGTGGGTGTGCAGAGTGGCACGCTCACCGAATTGTTCACAGCGCACCACTAAACGAGAGAGCTCGCCCAAGGGCCGGGTACACGGCGGGCGTCGATGCGGATGAATATCTCAACGTGCCCGTCGTTGGATAACATTTTCGTACCGGTTTGTATGCGGCCCCTTTTTTTTTTCATATTCTATATATAAAAAAAAATTGTCGTTTTGTTTCGTATTTTTCGTTTTGGCGTGTTGTTTTGTTTCCTTTTTTTGCCTTTTGTTTTCGTTTTGTTTCGGAAACAAAAGAAGATTTTTCGTTGTCGAGGCAATTTTAAACATCGGATGCTGTCTGACTTTTTTGTTGAATTGAAGGATGATGAGACTGGCGTTGTCAAAAGTTTATTCAGACTAAGCCTATGGCCAAGAGATTGAATCTTTTATAAACTATAGTTCGGACAATTGTGTCGTCCAAAGATAATGGCAGTAGTCCGCAGTTTTGTCGAGGCCGCAGAGGCATGCAGACATGAAAATGCTAGAACCAAACCTATTCTACCTCAAATAAAGTCGCGCGACTACTAAGCCGCGCGATTCAGAGTCTAAGTAGTCTAAAAAAGAGAGACGCGCCGAGTATAGGGCTGTGGCGCAGGGAGAATAGGAAGTTTTCTTTATTTCCTGGGCCCGACGGGTTTAAATTCGAGCCAGGGGGATGGCAGACCGATGCCGAGGCCTACTCGTTTGGGTGACCAATCACACCGTGGTCACACGGCCAACCGACAAGACAGGGCCAACAGGCAGGGCCTGCAAGGCTACAAGGAGGAGGAAGGCCAGACCCAAAGGCTCTTCTTATAGAAGAGCTGCTCCTATCACTGTCGTGATAGGAGTTAACCCAATAGGTAGGACATTAAACTGTTACCCGGGAGAGACCAGGATCGAGCCGCAAATGCACCACCACTGCGCTAGCTCCTTTTGGAACAGCCCCGTCATAAGGAGTTCGGGCGTGTCCGATTTCGGCCGCATGATCGTCAAGATCATACGGTGGAAATCCGTTGCGCCAAGATTAGCATAACCCCTACGCAAGGATGACACGCATAAATCGAGAAAAGGACCATATATTTTTTTTTTTCCGTAAGGAATCGAACTCAAATCCACATATCGGAAGGAAGGGGGGAAGACGCCAGCAAGGCATAGGGTAAGAAATTGTGGCCGTTGGCTTATGCCAACAGTTTCACTACTAAAAAAAAAAAAAAAAAAAAGGAAGGAAAGAAAAAGAAACGGCAACGAGGCAACTGTCTCGTGAGAGTGAGGTAAGAGAACAACCTTTTCAAGCTGTGTAGGAGCAAGCTCAGCTCCCTACTCTGAGCAGCCTGAATATTCTTAGCCGCGAGATCTCGAATCTCCCGGCTCATGATGGCGCGAGTGAAAGAGTGGATTGAGGGAGTTTGATAGAAGAAGTTAAAGAGAGAGATAGAGAGAGAAATGGGAGGATGGGAGAGAGGAGGACCTACTCCTCCCGAACTGCCAGCTGCCTTCCCGTTGTCAAGGGGGGGGGAGAAGAAAAGAAAAGGAAAAAAAAAAAAATTGGGATCAATTTTTTTGAAAATTTGTATTTTGTGGTTTGCGCCAAGATTTTTTTGGAGTCGTAAAACAATTTTGCCGGCCTTGTTGTTTTTTATGTAGGAAGCCAGGCACCTAGGCCATGCGCGTGAATGTTTTTAGATTTTTTTATTGGGCGAATATGTTTTTAAAAATCATTAAAGTCGGGGTACTTTTTGCACCCCACTCTGAGTCTGTCGGGATTTGAATTCGTGAATTTTTACGAGTTGCTTCCCTACCTCTCCCAACATGCAACTGCCCTCTTCGTTTTCAAGGGAGGAAAGAGTAAATGGTGGGAGGATTGTTGCTTTCAATAGCATGAATCTGGCCAAGGTAAGGGTCACACGCGTTATAGTTCAAGTTTAGTTTTCTTTTTATTTTTCTTTTGCTTATTTTCTTTGTTTTTTTGTGTGCATTCTCGTGAGGACACTCACTTGTCCTCACGAGGTGTTACCTCTGGTAGAAGCTGCCAGAGGTAACTGTCAGGCTCCCGTTTTTAGAGGGAGCCTGAAAATTGAGGGGTCATAAAGGAAAAGGCTAAGTACAGTCTTTTCCCCGATGTATCTACCCTGGAAAAAGGGTCCTGGTACATCAAACCGAAAAGGGTTGTATTTTTCCAACCCCTTATCAGAAGAATAAAAGAAAAGCAGATTTGGAAATCCCAAAAATCTCAGCTCTCTCGTGAAATTCCGAGATAGTTGAGATCAAAAAAATAAAAATAAAAATGAGGTAGTTCCCACTAAGGCTGTGGCTGTGGTGCAGCCACAGTTAGCCCTGGATCTTAGTCAGATCAAGGGTTCACTGTGAGCCCGCGATTTTGCCTTGGGGCTGGAGTGACGACCAACACTCCTCAGCCACTATAAAAAAGGGCAGTTGTTCCCAGCTGCCACACAGAAGCACTCGTGTTGCTGGTGTATGACAACACACTTGAGTGTTGTCGGGCTGCTGGAGGAGCTGCTGGAGGAGCTGCTGGAGGAGGCTGGAGGACTGCCGAAGAGCGTCGGACGAGGAGGAGGACAACCATAGCCAAGGCAGGGAGCACTTTGCTCCATCCTCAGGCTGGTGTTGGGCCTTTGGGATAGTTTTTGGGACCTCGATGCTAGACCGGGACTGTGCGGCATGAGTTGTACTTTGGGCCTGGATTTTATTTAGGTCCAAAGCTTTATTAATTTGACGGGGGGACTTCCTCTGCAGTGGCAGGCTTCAAGGTGGTGCAGGTGGAAGTACCGACGAAATTGGACCACGGCAGGCTGTTTCCCCACTTTTGTGGGGGTATGTTGCCGATTTTTTTGGCATCGACCGCGGTTATTTTTACAGAGTTATGCTGCGAAATTTGCGTCGCGTCCAATGACAATGAACTGAGGGAAGGTGTTGTCTGTTTTGCGGCACGACGATGTGCTGTCTGTTTTGCGGTAGGAAAGGTGTTGTCCATTTTGCGGCATGGCGGAATTGACGTTCCAGTGAGAATATGCTACCGATTTTTCTCTGCGTCAACGACGGTAATTTTTGTGGTGGTGTTATACTGTTAAATTGGGGTTCGTCAGGCGACACTAAGAGGAGAGAGGGTGCTGGTTTTCTTTTGGTGCGTCGAGGGACACGCCGTCAACGTAAGTGGAAGGGTAAATTGTGGTGAGACTGTTGTGGGGGTACGACGAGCGACATTAGTAGTAGTGGCGACAGTCTGCGTGTTGGACCACGCCTATCAAAATGGAACGGCACACTGATTTTTTTTGTGTGCACAGGTCAACGGCGATGGGGTCATTTGACCTTGACCAAGTGGGACTTTGAGACCGGCGGAACGCGTGAGCTGGACGAGCGGTGTCGGCGGAATCGACACTTGTGGACTTCAATTTTTTTGTGAGGC